GGGCTATCTGACTAGCATTCATGACGGTGGGGCGATAACCTCAATCTGCTCCTTTCTATGGAGCAGAGCTTTTTGTTTGCTCACGGCTTCTTACGATATAGTAGGATGTAACGAACCACTGATGTTGATGTTACTTTTCCAAGTCAACCACGTCTACGACTCATGTGCTACGGCCATCTATAAGAAGCCAAGTGTCTTGTGAAATAATAATAATTTATTTTCAAATACCATGTTACAAGAGGCATGCAAATTTACAAGCAAGAACAAAATGTTAAGATAGCCAACATATTTCATGTAAAACGTTGTTAAGTTACGTAATCATAGGTAATTCGACCGAATCAGTATAATACCTAGGAAATGAGCAACTTCCTAAAATATCTATACAACGTGAAAAAAGGTTTCCACTTTCACAAACCAACATCTCCATACTTTCGATGTCCCTCTGGTTTGTTTGATCGATTCACTTTGGCAAATGGAGAATCTAAGAGCGTTTCCTGTAGACTGTTCCTCTTTCTGCTGTCTATACATAAAAGCAAATACACCTGAGGGTTCCAATTAACCAATCACAGCTCGAATAATGCCTCATATATTTGGTGCGAATCCTAAAGTGTAGTGATAGATAACTTGTTTGTTTTTATGCAGGTAGTAAGGACTGGCAACAAATCCTTAAAATGCTAACTAACCGACTTCCCAAAATCATGCTAGCGCTACTTAAACATAAATAGCACAAAATACCCCGTTGGACAGATTTACCGTCCCCACTCAAATGCTAAAGCCCAGAAAGGTGAGTTAATAATAATAAAATTCGGTCAAAGAGATATTGCGACCACTACACCTTGGGTTTGACTAAACAATCTAAGCCGGAGATTTCAACACTTCCTTCCAAAATCTTGGCAAATAGGGTACAACCCCCACAGGTAGGTTCTAAAACCAGGTTGTCACGGCCATTAGATGTTTCGGACAGGCTGGACACGCGTGTGATGCCACGAGATGGAGTATGGAAGGAAAATCCTCAAACCTGGATTATTCGTTGACATATGGTCAGCTAACAATCAAGGATGTCCATGTCCAAACAAAAATGGGAAGTAGTGGTTATGGCGCAGTCCTGTTCAGTATGGTCCAAAACAAAATGATAAGGAGGGAAAAGAACGCTGGTATATTTGCTACACTGAGGCAAACTACATGATCGTTAGAAAGTGTCCTCGACCTGAGGTATGGCTTCGAAAATGGTGAAAACCAACAGCACATGATCACATGAGAATTATGAGAACATTATGCATAATGCTGTCCCACATATTGTACCTAAAGTTAATCATCTGCCTAGAAAGAGATCATGGGTTAAAAAAGGCATAGAATGTTTGCCAAGTGCGAAGGCTTTCTGGAAGATCTCAGACCATAGTTCTTACATGTTACTGAGAAGTAGATGTAACTTCAAAATACAAAGCGATGTCAGTTTATGTTATATTCGTTGATTTAACAAAAATTTTCGTACCTCAGTACTCCTAATGGCGAATGTTGAGAAAATGGGCTACACAGGTCCACTTCTGTCTTTACTCGAAAGAGAATAGGAAGATTCATACGAATTCAATAGGTCTTGACACTGAGTTTCGCAGTGTACCAGGTTAGTTCACTCCTCTTCTTGATGTCAGATGAGATCAGCACAGCAACATCAATCTATGGGTCTGGAGGTTCATAAGAAGCAAAAGGGATTCATTTTTACTTCAAAATGAACTTACAACAGTAGAGCATTGGGTGGTAGAAAACGGGTTAGTACTTTATCAGTCGAAATGTTACGTCATCAATATTCTATACCACAGGATACATTCAACCCACGTCCTCAGTGAAATTTCACCCTCAAAAGTCTCTTCAAAGTAAGATCTCTGTCTGGAAACCACAAAGAGCTCTGATATCAGATTGAACTACATAGGGGACGCGGTCAGGGCGAAAGCAACTCTTCACTTGGTGCGAAAACTACCTGGTGCAATCACCCCATAATTTTACTTAACTCTCTTTAAAACATACCAACTGCTCTGCCCTTAAGTTAACAATGTCCTCACACCCCGCTCCTGAAGAGAAACATAAATCTATTGGATCGAGTGCAGAGACAAGCGACTGTGTGGGTGATAGGAATAAAAAGTAAACCCCTTAAAGACTAATCCCGACGCACGTCATTATCCTCAATGAATTATGGGAAAATAAGAATTGATACGATAACTGCTTACGAGAATTTTTTTTATCTCCCATAAGGTCATTTCTGTTTCCCTTCTTGATCCTTCCAATTCGATCCTCTCACACAACCTGCACTACCAGATAAAGAAGTTATTTATATACTTTCTCAGTTCATAAATCTTCTTCTCCTTAGCATTAGAGTTTTCCCCTAATTATTCTCCATGTTTCAAACAACTGATCATAGCCTGGTAGTGTGATAGCTGCTGGTATCCAGAATCCCTACTGACCTGAGACAAAAGCACTCAATGAGCTTGCAAGACATCAAAAGTCAGCTGTTAATTGGCCAAAGTCACTGCGGCCAAATGGATAAGCTACCGCTAATTGGAAAGTGCCAGATACCTACAACCGTACCTTACTAAAAAGAAGCGAGCATGGTTTAGACTCGTTCATAATAGATATAAAGAAATTTGGACATCCCATAACCGAAGTTTTGATGTTATGAAGGATTATACAGCCGCATGAATCCGGGTTAAAAAACAGAAAATTTAAAGCAATTAATTTTCACTACACATCAACATTGGTCACTTTTGTTTTACCACACTATTTTCTTATTTGCTAATGCCGCTTACCGTTGCTCGGAGTTGAACTAATGCCACCCGATAAAGTTAAAAATAAAAGCCTGGTCAAAAAGCCAACATCAGCTTAAAATGTTAGCACCAAAAGAAGCCATTCTTGGTTATCAAATAAGCACTCTCCGGGATTTACTTTCCAAGCTGAAGTTTAAGAAAGGAACAGTTGAAAACATACTGACGGAAAAATTACAGATTCTTAACTCACTTAAGCTGCAAGGCGAGAAAGCACTTAAAGAAACATCAATAAAGGTTTTAAAAGCTTCAACATCTGAAGAAATAACGGTGACATCTGATGATGCAAAAAGTTATTTGCTTGAAACGTGGAAGATTAGAGATGCAGAGGAAAATGAAGTTAACAAAATTCAAGATGAAATAAAATTGACACAATGTCTTACAAGGGATGCTCGTTCAGAGCTTGAGCGGTGGCGCACTTATTCTGATGTAACAAAGAAAGCTAATGAAACACGCATTCAAATGTTAGAAACAGATCTCGCTAATATGGAGCAGCGTTTTCAATCAATGGTGAAATATTTATCCGAAGAGAAAGATAAAACTGAGTTGGACATCAGGGCAAATGTTGACTGTTCCTCGGAGAACATTAGGAACTCAGTAGTTAAAAAGGTTATTGACATTTTAAACAAGTTTTTTTCACATCAAATGCTCCAAAACAAATGGCTAAAAATTGAAAAGAAATCACTTGAAGAAAAGTTGAAACGAATCATTTATGAAGTCGAAAATCTCCAAGGAGAAAACTTAGCCGCTATAGAAGAAATTTTCAATATTAATTTAACACATTTATTCATACCTATATCTTTTTGTGAAGCTCAGATTACTGACGATGACAATCTACATAAGAGTACTGTTCTTGACTTGAAAATAGACCAGGATTTATTTGATGCCAAAAAACATACAGGTAAATGGAAAAATAAAACATATTTATCTTACTTTTGTCTTAGCTTTGAGAAATCCTGAACACAAAGACCATAATAATGAAAAACATTTAAATCCCAAAGATGAAATAATACTTTCTTCTATCTGTAGCTTCAATGTAAATATGTTTCATCATTTAAATGAAGACGAGAATCCAAGTCAAACTGTTGAAGTAGAGAATTTTGCAGCCCTTGGACCACTTGAAAAGAATGCTTGCTTCCTTCAAGGTCTTTCTGCTAAAATAAGCCAACCGGATAACTTCTGCTCAGCTGAGCTTCAAGCACAACTCAAGTTTAATCCAGAACTCGAGAACTGGCCCGTCAGTAGGGATATGCTTTTAAAATATCTGTCAAATCGCAACTGAAATAATAAGTTAAACATCGCGATAGAATTTCACAATTTCATAATTAAAGGTTATCAGTTATCTTTCTAGATGAATGAATTCCGTTCAAATATTTTGTCATCATGTGGAGTTTATCAGTATTTGTCTGACACAGAAATCAACACTGCAGTATGAATGGCAATGCAGAAAATTTCTGAGTATGTAAGTCACACTCCATCCTTTTGGTGCAAGCTGTCATATTTACTTTTTTTTTACTGTTCTTACCGTCTTCATATTTAATAATCTTACTCTTTAGTATTGCTCCCAGTATGGTAAAGCTCAAATAGAGGTTTTACAACTTTGTTTAACCTGGTGCCTAAAATTCAGATTGTAGTTAAATTTAGGTTACAGTTCTAAACTTATTCGTTTATGGCTACTTTCTCTTTAAAGTTATAAATTTTATGGCATCACTTATTTAGTCAATAGTATAGTTTCTAGTATTGATTAAATTCATTTAAATTCTTTTCCTACCTCCACCCTCTCGACAATGTTCCTAGTATTTGCTTATATAAGTGGATGTATATGTACTTCTTATAAGCTAAAACTGATCCTTTTTAATTCAATCATAACTAACCTGAGATAAATGTCGATTGATATCAACTTGAAAAGCTAAAATTAATAAACTAAACAGCAAAGGAAGTATAATAAATATAGCAGTAAAACAAAAGTTGGAAGACCAAAACGGATAAAATATAGTTCAAAGAGAAGAAATAAAATACATGAAATATTGAGATAAACAAAATATTCAGGGATAGGAAATAAGTTCACCATTATCGTTCCAATTGGTCGTCATCTAGGATTCTCCTCTACCAATGATGATAACTTTTACGTTGACCTTAATTCGATTTTATGGACAATTAGTAGTGACATTCTAAAATAATTCACTTCTTAATTTAGCGATTCCTAGCTTTTGTTCCACTTGCTTTTGTCTTTCGTTTACACATTTATAATCAGTGAAAAAGTGTAGATGATATACTGCAGCTTCTTTAGTAGTAAATATTTGACAATGAATTACTACTAACCTGTTAGTAGTAATTAAAAATGATAACTTTAAAACAATACTTTGACTAACCAACATTATCCAGAAGATCAATAAATAGAGGTTACAAAACAAATGCGAATATTTGACTGATATAGTATGCCAAAATGAACGAAATAAAAACTTGAATAGGACTGGATGCTTTCCAAATAACTAGCTGATAAGAGGAAACCTGATGTAATCTAGGTGTCAACTATCACTCAACAAGATAAGTCTTCTTGTTGTTTTGGCCAGCCTCTTATTTTGGCACTATGATAACATACTGAAACATTAACTGTTTCCCAATTAGAAAAATTTCTACAAAAGAAACATTTACTTACACTTTAACTTACCTTATTGATTCAAGAAAAAAAAAATTCCAATCAAGCCTACTATCACTTAAAAAAGTTTCAAATGGAAATTAAGAATTGAATATTCATGTTTGTTTTTAAACATTTTCTCTCTCTTTCTCTGTGTGTCTCTGTTGTACTAGTTAATATATAAGTGAAAGATTTATAGAAAATATTCTATTGAATAACAAATGAATTACTATCAGTTATTTTCACATTACATTTGTACTATATCTATCGGGAAGAAAATGAAAGGAATGATAACTTTCTTAGAACTGATTTACGGATTATTATTATTATTATTATTGCATATGAACCTATTGTAATCTCCCCTGATTAACTCATTAGCCACTGTTGTATGATTTATTATGCTTAATTCAATGCCTAGTTTATTAATCATAGCCACTTTTTTGGCTTGCTGATGATGATGTTGATTCAATGTATTTTCTCAGTTTATGGTGATTTGTTCTACATTGTTTGGCAATATAAACTATGTCTACTTGAAATATAATGAAATTTTTTGCAGGCTATATCTATGGACTTCTAGACTAAAAAGGGCAGGGTAGAGAGAAAGGAGCTATTGTCAGTTGTGGAACAATAAAGATTTATAGTTGACTCATTGTTTATGGTGCTAACGTATTTATGATTAGTGTGTTTTGTATTTGTCATTTGATACACATTAACAGTTACGTATGCAGAGAGTTGACAGTATAAATGACAAGGTATTACACTAACTTACTTACTTACTTACGCCTGTTACACCCAATGGAGCATAGGCCGCCCACCAGTTTCCTCCAACCAACTCTGTCCTGGGCTTCCCTCTCCAGTTCTGTCCAATGTTTGCTCATTCCTCCAATATCTTTCTCTATTTCTCGGCGTAGTGTGTTCCTTGGCCTTCCTCTTTTCCTTTTGCCTTGAGGATTCCATGTGAGGGCTTGTCTCGTGACGCAGTTAGGTGCTTTCCACAGCATGTGTCCTATCCACTTCCGGTGCTTCTTCCTGATTTCTTCCTCCTCTAGAATTCGGTTTGTTCTCTCCCACATTAGGTTGTTGCTGATGGTGTCTGGCCAACGAATCCGAAGTATATTGTGTAGACAACTGTTCATAAACATTTGTATCCTCTGGATGATGGCTTTTCAGTAATTTTTTCACAAGAAGCATTGTTTGGCTCTATATTTTTTCACGAATGTCAACAAAATTCTATTTGCTTATAAAACACTTGAAAATATAAATAAAATACATAATGAGTAGATGTTTTAACTTTTGACATGTGTTAGGATATTCGCCAAATATCCTAAGAATACTATTTTTAGAAGTACAATCCCATTGGCCGAAATTATGATCGTTCTAACCGTCAAGGTCAAATACTTCAATGTTGCTTTTTATTGGTCATCTGGACTGTCAATGTCATTCAAATGTTCTTTTCTATTGGGCGGCCTAAACTGTCAATGTCACAGACGTTGATGCTCTTTCTTATTCGACCTTAGTGTATAAATACGCACTATCTGAAAGACTTAATAATTCCGTTTCCCCTGCCTGCCTCTTCTTCTGTATTCGACCCAATAAACAACTTCCTTCCACGGTGTTGCGTTCTGATATCTAGGAGATTTGGAAAAAGCCTTTTGGGTCGTATTGTGATATTTGAATTGGACGCCGTTAGGACTGAAGAGCTATACGTAGCAGCGTTACAACAACATGTTAAACTGGTGAATTAAACCATCACTTCTGTTACAAAAAAGCAATTAGCTCCTTTTTAGTTTGATCATTGGAAAATTAATCATTCCATTAAAAAAAAGGTTACTAAATATTTCAAGTATTTAAAACAATTCTATTTATACAAGTACTAAAGAACACAAACAACATCAATGAAGAGCAGGGATTACGGGATAAAGTTGAGTAAAAAAGCATTTAACTCAGTAGGCATGTCCTCCTAATTCACGAAAATAGCATTACTATTGACATGGACCAAAATGACTAATTACACTTTTAATATCATGCGTTGTATTATTGATATCCTTTTCTCTTTTGAGAATAAAATAATGTTTGACGTGCTTGTATTAAGTTTCAGCTATGCTTCTCATTTAATGACAGAGTTCCAAAGGAAAATCAAAGTCTAATATTAGAACTCTATCTAGAAAGAAAATATGTGGACAGTTTTTTTAAAAACCTCTTCATGGGGGTGTTTACGGTCTGTAAACCCTTAATGTATATAAGCATAAACAGTGCTGCCTGAAATAATTGTATTGAGAGGTCGGTTAAAACATGTGACTGGATAAATAATAGTTATCAGGTTCATTTGAATTAAGTAACAATAACTGTCAGAAAATAAGAATATTAAAAAAATATGGATATTGTCATACTTAAACATAGATTCAATGAATGTAAAAAGAAATTGCAAGGAATTATATTATAAATTTTAAGCAGTAAAAATTACGGTACAAAGTTAAACTTAATGTTATAAACTTATGTAAATACTTCAGAATGCTACAAAATAAATAAAAAAACATGGAGCACCATCCCAAAAAGATGAAAAGTGAATCAACTACTGATTATTATTATTAAGTAGTACAATTTAGTATACTAAAGATTATTATTGTGTGAGAAGAAATGATAGTAAGATGAAAGTTTTTAAATTATTTGGTTTTTTATGTGCGTATTTATGAGGTAACATTTTAATTTATCTAGTGATGAAATAATGAAAATTGAGACCACACGGTTATGGATAAATTCTAATAGCCAGTTTCTTTTTGAAAAATAAGCCAGTCAATTGGTCCAGAAAGACACTAAAAGCTTAACCACTGAAACTATCTAATACGAATTTTACTCGTTTTTGTATATATTCAAAGAATATTATTTGGTTGTGTAAACGTAACACCGATAAATAATGACTTATTTCAAGAATAAAGATATCTGTTATTGATCACAGAGAGGATTACATTAATATATGACTTCATTTTATTCGTCTTTAAACAAAAATTGAATTACGCTGGTTGTTTTGACTACTACAGAATTCAGAATACTCTTATCCTTCAATTCGAGACTCATCTAATGGATGTACATGTAATCTGATTTGGACACTCATTCTTTTAATCCATGCCTTTTGCTTTGAATGTACTTTGAATCCAGAAACTAACTTCTTTAATGTATACGAATCTATGATATGCCATGAAGTATTGCTCACTGACTTTTAATCGTTCTTTGTCATTTGACATGGGTAGTCCGACAGTTGATGCTGTCAATCAATCTTCCTATAAACGAAGCATATCGACTACTTTATTAAGAGACTGGGATTGAGGAAGGAAGCTGATTAACCATATGAAACATATATATGCATACTCATATATAAAATTGATATCTAAGAAAATTCAACCCCAATCGCAATGACCATCCACGATCACATCTAACTAAGGATCGTCCGATCTCGTAGCAAACACGGCCTTGTATGACTTACTAAATAAAATGAGCAAACAATCAATACAATTCAATTTGATAAAGCGAAATAATTTACTAGTTTTAATGTTTCAGCAAAGACTTTTTCGATAATGTTTCTTACAAGCGTGTTATGGAAA